AAAATCCTTCATACTTTATACTTCCTTTACAGTATAAAACTCTTCCAACATTGGTATATTAAGTATAGTTGCTGTGTATTCGCTATACATATTTCCCTGCCTTTAGTTGTTAGTTAATCGTATTTATTTGAAGGTAAATCACGGTCAACACTACCTTTTAGGCTGAGTTGAAGTGTAATTATCTCGCCACATGACTTGTAATCGCACAATATCTATCCGATTGATCATAGCCTTAATAGTAGATCAGAGTTCGTTGTTTAAAGTGATTGTCATGTAATTATGTAACAATGTAGCAAAAATCGCTTTAACGATATGTACGCTGTGTGATCGGATGTTAAATATCCATATGCTGTACTATAATTCATGACGTATATATTATTTAGCATCAAAAATAAAACTAAATTTTAATGCGCGAAGTGTTACATTGTACAGATATAACAACTTTGTGAATACGAAACATAAATGCTTATGGCATAGTTATAATATACATGTGTATAATCTGTAACTATTCACAAGCAATATTTAAAAATTTTTAAGTGAGCGTGAAAGGGTGTTCTGAGCCCGAACGGTATCACGTGACCATGGCGCAGTAAATACACGCTAATGCTAGTTTATTTCATTTTCAAAAATAATATGCACTTTCTCTGAAAGAAAATACAACTACTATTCATGAGGGGAAGTTTTCGATAATATATTTGACCTCACTTCTAGTTAAGTCAGAAAAGCTAGATGCAGTAAATGATTTGACGCGCGAAATTTTATCCTCTCCAATTTTGCTAAATACATCATAAATTTTTCTAGCAGTGTCTGTTCTCTTTCGTACCATAGCATTATTGAGATTTTTCAGAAGATGTTCTCTAACTTCACCGTTCAGTTCTGTATATGCCATTTGCGGGGGTTTACTCTTCAATAATTCAATGAGTCATTCTGATAGAGCTTTTCCGAACTGAAAATATCGATGAATAACATTCCGATTTGTTTGATTCCCGCTCTTTTCAACATTATCAACTTCATAATACAGGCGATAGAGTTTAGTGGATATTTCTTCCGTGTTGGAATCTTCGGAAGGTGCAGTGATTGATGGTTCATCGGAAATTGGTATGACAGATAACTCTCGAATCATGGCTTGCGGTTTTGAGATCTTTTTAGGCTTATTTTCATGAACGTTATCTTCTTCTTTCTTCCTTTTCTTTTTGGGGGCTTCGTTGAGTGAGATGCCAGGTGAGATATAATATCCTTCTTTTGCCAGATCATCCGCCGATGGACATTTAGGACATAAGTTGCGCTTGTTAGCTATACACTTGAAATGGATAACGTGTTTGCATGTTAATAATACGACTGGCTTTGATCGCTCTGAAGAGATGGATTCGAAACACTTGGAGCATATTTCAGTAGTTGGCTTGAGCGGTGAAGCATTATTATCTTTTTCTTGCGCTTTATTATTCGCGTCACTCTGCAAGAGGTCACTTTCGAATAATGGAGAATCTCGTTCATTTCCAGACATAATGCTAGTTGGGTCCTTCTGTGGAGCTATCGTAGAGATTTGTGGTAATATTTCCATTGGATCCTGTGACCCTGTCTCATTAATAGCCGAAGTGAGGAAGGTTTCGATATCTTTATATCTGCATCCCATATTCGGACATCTCGCTCCCACGGTTAGCAGATGGTATTCGAGGCACTTTTGATAATAGAGACACCCACAGCTGGCCATCGTAAATTCTTTGATTGCACTTGCGGGGTGTGGAATAAACACTTGTCCACATAACTGACATGGATCCAATTTCGGTACCTTGACGCTACTATTAAGGGTTCCTGGAATCACATCAAGAACGTTTTTCGCAAAGATTATAATTTGAGTTTTATCCATACTCAAGTAGAAAAAATCATACCTAATACACTTCTCACTTCCTATTTAACGCTCTGTATGGATGATATGATGTGCTGAAATTTACATGTCCCAACTCGAATTGGCATTATGTCCGAAATTGTGTATGGGAGAGATAACTCGATTCGCAGTGATAGGTAAATTCGTTCATTCTTAGTGAAATTCACGATCGGCGAAAAATATAAAAAAATGACAAATGAGGGTATATGTAAAAAATTGGGTCATACGAAGTAGCAGGTACGTAACGATCGCCGATAATTATTCTGGTACGACATACAGTAAAAAAATTAGATAATTATAGCACGATCACATACAACGTAATACGTAAAAAAAATCTGATTACTGCAGTTTATTAATACAGTTAAAACGAAATTAGTATTTTTTAATTAAGCTTATTCGCATTTTGATAGACCCTTTGGGTCATTGCTTCGCAATAATATCGATCTTTGGCTTGCTTCATAAATGATCCATCGGATCGATAAAGCCATTGAACTACTGCATTTTGGATTATTTTAGCGGAATTAATTTGTTTTCTCCATAAACAATATGCCTGCTGGATAATTAATGATGCACGATTTTTTTTATACAACACTAGTTGAACTTTAAAATCCCTATATTCAGGGTCATTACCTATTTGTTTATGGCTGGTTAAATTATTTTTGATACGAAATACAAAATTTTCCCAGTAATCTCTACTATTTATTTCATATCCTAGTTTTAATAAACGATTGCGTATATATTTTGGTGGATAATTTTTTGCAAACCGTAACCATGCTTCTGACGTTTTAATAATGTTAACGATATAATTTTCACCATATTCACTCAACTTATCTCGTACTTTGTTATAACTCATATTATATAATTGATATCTCAAACGTGTAGATTTTATTACTAAAGCTTTTTATTTAATAGACCAATGGAGCTAACTGAAAAAATAAATGGGTTAATTTATTAGATTATCAATTGCCTGATATACAAATTTAGATATCATAGATATCAGCTCGTTATATACTTTATTTTTTCTTATTTCGCTTCTTTGTATATTTAGAATAGACTGAATCAAGGTCTTTAGATATATGTTTTTTTTTTAAGGTGCAAGTGAGAATTTCCATATCATCAGATAATTCAGTTTCAGAAGAAGCAAAGCTTCGATGCTCCGCATCCTCTGAGCTAATGCTATGAAATGTATTTACAGATTCATATGTATCTTCTTTGAATATATTTGAAAATTGATTATCAATAATCCTTATCCCTTATCGTAACCTGTCCATATCTCTCTTCAGAGCTGCAATAGAATCTCTGAGATATTTAAGTTCATTTTCTATTACGAAGCAATGGCTCGAAGAACTTACTTTTTGTTCCTCATATTTATTAAATTTTTCTGTCATTTTGGATATTATACTAGAAATATTTTTTATCACGATTTATGTAATTATTAGCTTTGTCTCTGGAGTTAACCGAAAAAAAAAATATATGGCAGATGGGTAGGTCGACTCGCTTTCCCTATATTTGATAAATAAAAAATCTCGGAATGAAATTAATAAGTCAATTTTGTTTGATCAATACTGGTATATCAATTCATTCTTCTATTTCAGTTAAATCCCAATCTTCTATACTATCTCAAGGGATTTCTTATTTTTTATTTGCTCTATATTAAATTTAACGATCTCCTTTTCTGATTTACTTATCATTCCATTAACAAGCATATACTTTTCAATCTCTACCT